GGCAGCCCCAGAGTCGACCTCCGAAGCACCAAGCACACCACCCCCAGAGGCAGCACCAACACCAGCTCCAGACCCAGGCTCTCCAGAAACCGAAGGGACACCCTCACCCCCAGACGCAGCACCCCCAGACTCCGCACCAGCACCCCCAGACTCCGCACGACCAGTACCAGCCCCCGGAAGACAAGAGTCCTCTGCAACCCGCGGCTCAGCTCCAACTCCAGCACCCCCAGAACCAGAGACCTGTACAGGGACAGTCGCAGGACCAACCTCCCGAGAGGGAGCACCTGCAGGAGGCGGCGAGGAAGACTGTGGGGAGGGAGGCTGTACAGGGGGGGCTACCGAAGGGGGAGGGCTAGCCTGAGACACACCAGACGGGGCTGGACCAGGGGGGGGAGGCTGTACCGGGGGAGCAGGCGGGGGAGCGGCGGTCAGGAAGAGAGGGGGGGGAGGGACCGGGAGACCTCGACTGGGGTACCTGACGTAGTAGGGGGTGGACTCCTCGAAACGGACGTCACGGGAGTCAAAGAACCGGTGAGAGGGAGGGTGGTAAAAGGTGAAGTCAGAGGAGTCCTCAGGGAAACCAAGGAAGACACAAGGAACGGCGCGAGGCGAGAGCTTGTCCGCGGAGGTGTCGCGGACAAGAGCCAAGCACCCCCAGACACGAAACCTCGACGCGACACCAGGGGACCCTGTCCAAAGACTGGTCGGTGAAGCCTCCGGCCGAGAGACGCGTGGCCAGAGGTTCAGCTGGTGCGCGGCGTACCTGACCGCGTATGGCCACAGGAAATGGGGGGCACGGGCGTGAGTCAAGGAGGTGCGGGCAATCTCCATGACCAGGCCTATGCGACGCTCAGCAACCCCATTCTGCTGTGGGGACTCCGGAAGCGTCCAGGACTGACGAATGCCCTGTTCGCGACAGAATCCAGCGAGAATGCCGGAGCGAAACTCGCCCCCGCGGTCGGAGTGGAGACAGCTGACACGACGACCACGAGTGTCCTGGGTGGTAAGCAACCACCTGATCAGCGTAGAAGTCACCTCAGACTTCCTCGCCAGGGGGAACACTGTGGTGTAGCGGGAGTAGTCGTCAACGACCACCAAAAAGAAACGCTCACGCTCAGGGCCAGGGCGAGGAGAGGGGCCCCAGACGTCCAAGTGCAGCGTCTCAAAAGGCTCGGTGGCCGGACGAAGGGAGGAGGAGTGAGGGGTGGCGCGCAGCCTACCCTCGACGCAAGGACCGCACGGTGGCGCAAGGGACGGCGGCAGCGACGGCAAGACACGCGGGAGACCTAAGACAAGACGCTGACGAGACATAGCGCGAAGACGAGGAGGAGAAGGGTGCCCCAGCCGGTGGTGCCACAAAACGGTGGGGTGGGCAAGCGACCGACAGGAGCACGACGCAGCGACCGGACTAGACGGAGGAACCTGACAAGACACAGCTACCTGGGGGGACGGAGCAACCTGGTGAGACGCGAGGACTCGAACGGGGGGCAAAACAGGGGCCGGGGGCAGGAGGGGCGGCTGTGGCTGCGGCTGCTGCTGCTGCTGCGACTGCTGCTGCTGCTGCTGCAGTCGCTGCTGAGCGCGCGGGCCAGTGTGAAGAGTGTAGAGACCGGAGCCCGGCTCAGCAGCAAAAGTGGCGAGGGGCTGGTAAGAGTCCCCGTCAACACACACCGCAGTCTCTCCAGAAGGCTCAAACCACACACCCACGTGCTGACTCACGAGGGGTCGCACGCCCACCAAGTTCCGGGAGAACGAGGGGACGTGAAACCCAGTGAGAGACCCAGAAGGAGCAGCCGGACACGGCAAGGTGGTAGTGTGACGCGCGGTGACTGGTCCCGAAGTGGGATCAGCCAGCGCCACAGAAACAGGCGCAGGAAGAGGCGTAAGTGTCGTGCTGTCACGAAAGAAGCAGTGAGAGGCTCCAGAGTCCAGCGTGAACGACAGCGAACCGTCCTCTGAGGTAGCCGCTGGACTAGAGTCTACACAAGAACCTACACTAGCAACAGGCAACTGAGCAAGGCTAGCACCTAAGCTAACAACACCAGAGTAAACAGAGTCAGAAACACTAGAGTCAACAACAGCATACATAGCATGGGGACGACCAATCAGATCAACTAACTGCTCAGCAGACATGCCCCACAGAGCGGAGCCGTAACGCTGAACAAGAGGCAGCCAGTCAGGGGCAGGAGCACCAACCCCGTAGACCAAACGAACCGTGTCAGTGAGCTGAGCAAAGCACTGACCAGGGGGGTGAAACCGGCCACAAGGGTGGCCACGACGAGTGCCTGTCAGAACCTGGTAGGTGCAGGGAGTGTAAGCAGCACCGCGCTGGGTCTGACGCAGCCCCGACCCTGGAGCCAGCTGCTGCCGCTGCTGCTGCTGAGGCTGCTGGGAGGAGAGGGGCTGCTGGTGCTGCAGAAGCTGCTGCTGACGCTGAGCCTGGTACCACGCCGCTGCTCCACCAACCGGGGCAGGAAGTACAGGAGGCGACTGACGAACTCGGGCGTCGCCACCACCAGCAGGCGCAGTGGAGTCACCAGTCGCTGCACGAGACGCCTCTCCAGGCCCTGAACCTCCACCGCCGCCAGGCGCAACGCCACCTCCACTACCTCCGCCTCCACCTCCACTACCACCACCAGAACCGCCTTTCTTGCCACTCCTACCGCGGGACCGCGACGCAGTCGTAACAGCAGCTGCAGTCGCGTCAGTAGCGGCAGTGGCAAGTGAGGCAGTAAAGGTGGGTAACTGCGGGACTGTGCACCCGTGGAAGAGTGGGGGGGGCACAGCACCAGAGGCAGCGGCTACCGAGCGAAGGTTGCTCTCGACGTCCTTGAGTGCAGACTCAAGGACCTCGACGGTGAGCTCACTAGGGTGCTTCAGCAGAAGCGCGTCGCGAACGGAGGCAAGGCGGTCAGGGAGGCTAGTGGCGATGAAATAGATAGTGATCGCCATAGGGGGAGGAAGCAGTGCAAGCTGTGCCTCTGTGCAAGCAGCGCGGTAACTAGCGTCGAGCGAGCGGAGGTGAGCGATCAAGTCAGCAGAGCGCTCAAAAGACGCTAGGTCAGGAAACAGGAATGGGAGGAACAGGCGGCCAAGAGAGACAGCAGCGGGAGTAGAGTAGCGGGCCTTAATCGCAGTGAGGTACTCAGCAGCGGTGCGAACCTGAGTGAAGTGAACCTCCTCAGACTCAGGGAGGAGGCTGCTGAGCGCGATGCAGGCCGCAGCGTCACGTGACTTCCAAGCCGTCTGGTCAGCTCGCTGAGTGGCAAAGCGGGCTCTAGCGGCGTCATCAGGGGCAGGTCCTAAAGGCGTAGGGTCGGAGGGCGCAGGTAGGGCACCAGTAGCGTGCGCCCAGAGGGACTCGCCTGCCTGGACCTGACTCTCTAACAGACGGCGAGCACGAAGAAGCCAGACGGAAAAATCAAGAGGTCTACCGTCAGCGTCGAAACGAAGGACGCGAGGGGTCGCCATAGTGTGCAAACGGAATTGGCAGGGAAAGCAGGGTGCAGCGGCAAGGGGGAACGGGCAGGAAGAGCGGGCAAGAGCGGGCGGGTAGGTAAGGTGTGGTGGGCGTCTAGGGTAGGAGCGCGCGGGCTAGGGCAGGAGCGCGCGGGCGGGTAGGGCAAAGGCGCCGGGCCAGGGCGACGGGCTGGGGCGCGGGCCTGGGCGACGGGCTAGGGCGCGAGCAGGGGGAACCGCGGGTCGACAGGCAGCGGGGGGAAGCGCGGGTCGACGGGCAGCGGGGGGAAGCGCGGGTCGACGGGCAGCGGGGGGAAGCGCGGGTCGACGGGCAGCGGGGGGAAGCGCGGGTCGACGGGCAGCGGGGGGAAGCGCGGGTCGACGGGCAGCGGGGGGAAGCGCGGGTCGACGGGCAGCGGGGGGAAGCGCGGGTCGACGGGCAGCGGGGGGAAGCGCGGGTCGACGGGCAGCGGGGGGAAGCGCGGGTCGACGGGCAGCGGGGGGAAGCGCGGGTCGACGGGCAGCGGGGGGAAGCGCGGGTCGACGGGCAGCGGGGGGAAGCGCGGGTCGACGGGCAGCGGGGGGAAGCGCGGGTCGACGGGCAGCGGGGGGAAGCGCGGGTCGACGGGCAGCGGGGGGGGAAAGCGCAGCGTGACCTGCAGCGGTACGCTAGATCGGGCTACGCTAGATCGGGAGGAAGAACGAGCGGTAACGAACGAACGGGACTAGATCGGGCCGGCACTAGGCTCGGGCAAGACGGGCGAAACGAGAGCTAGGATCAGGCTCGGGTGGTACGATCGGAGAACGGAGAAACGGGATCCCACAGGATCCTAACCTAGCTGATACCATGTCAAAATGAGGAATGGATGGTGCATTGATGTTGGTTGGGGTACATATAGCTAACCCTAAGTTTTGTACCCCTTAAGACAAACCTCACTATAGGCTACAACATTTGACAGTTAAGTCGTTCGTATTCCCCTGTACTCATATTTATATTTGTTGTATTTGCATGTTTTAATTCATCTCAAGCATTTTACATTCACTCTACTATTGAGGTCAAGGGCCCACCAACATCATTCTACTGCGTGCGAACCTTCCTGAGTAGATCCTGGTGGCGATCAACTTCTGATCGCAGCACAACTACCACTCGCTGCAAAGGGAAACACATCAATTAGATACATATATGCATGATTGTTGAGAGTTTTTTTTTTTTTTTTTTTTAAACGTACAAGATTGCATGTGCTAGATGGTAATGTAGTCCATTACAAAGTAGATCATTCCTTTGTGAACTTTACATTTCTTTATTTCCATAACCTGGAAGATGCAAGCGTCGACGGAATCCACTATCGAAGCAGCGGATGAAGGACAAGCAGGAAATTGTCTCCAAACCAAAGCTCGCGTCTAGCAAGTTGCCAAAAGAGTGGTCTTTTCGCCAGCGGAAGTGACCGAGTTGGTTATAGCTGCAGGCGAGACTTTCACAGAAATCTTGCTTTACTTCGTTACTACGTGCTTGATTCGCGGACAACTCAATTCTGCTCGCGATGGAGGACGAGCGGAAGCGCGACGGCGACGCGGAGGAAGGGGAGGCGCACGTAGACGTAGATGCGGGCACAGGGGCTGCGGGCAGGGGGGGAGGGGGTTCGCGGAAGCGGAAGCAGGCGCAGGGCGCGCGGAAGAAGGGCGGGGGTGAGAAGGTCCCCGCGCTGGTGAAGTGGGGCGGGCGCGCAGCGGTAGTGGTGGGAGGCGGAGCAATGGCGGCGGCCGCTGCGGGGTCCTCGCTGCTAGAGTACCAGGTGCCGCCCGTTTCCCCGCCTCCAGCGGGCGGGACGCCGCTTTTTCCCCGCCCCTCTCCCATCGTATCTCCCACCTCTTGCTCGCGCGCGTCTGCCAGTCCCTCGCCCGACATGTCAAATAATAGAGGCCCCAGTTCGTCTCCTATAGCTTGGAGCGTGCGCCACTTTCAGCCAGCCAGCCCTCGAAAGGGCGCGCTCTAACCGTCGAAGCCTTCTTTCGCTCAGCCTGCGGCGATGCGCATTCGCCACTCTCGTCCCCACCCCTCGTGCATCGTCCCCTCGTCACCTAAGTGGTCGCTTACTCAACCTTCGCTGGTCGCCTACTGAACCCGATTTAGTGACTCCTTTCAACCCTGAAACGCTTTCCTCACCTAAGTGGTTCGACTGTCCTCAAGTATATAGGTCGCCCATAAACCCTCGTTCGCCCTCCTTAAAACCCTGAACCCTTGGTCAAGGCTGATACCTACGTGACTGTCTGCCTGTCGTCCCTTCGTCCTGGCAGGTGCAAGCGGTGCTACGGGGCGCGCATGTGGACCTCGCTGCTGCGAGGCAGAGAGGGAAGGGCAATAAACCACCAGCCAGGTGCCATTGTATCGTTACGTGGCTGTACCTGTGTGCTCACACCTGCAACTGCCCCTCCTCCCCCTCCTCCTCCTGTCAGGTGCAAGCGGTGCTACGGGACGCGCATGTGGACCTCGCTGCTGCCAGGCAGAGAGGGAAGGGCAATAAACCACCAGCCAGGTGCCATTGTATCGTTACGTGGCTGTACCTGTGTGCTCACACCTGCAACTGCCCCTCCTCCCCCTCCTCCTCCTGTCAGGTGCAAGCGGTGCTACGGGACGCGCATGTGGACCTCGCTGCTGCCAGGCAGAGAGGGAAGGGCAATAAACCACCAGCCAGGTGCCATTGTATCGTTACGTGGCTGTACCTGTGTGCTCACACCTGCAACTGCCCCTCCTCCCCCTCCTCATCCTGTCAGGTGCAAGCGGTGCTACGGGACGCGCATGTGGACCTCGCTGCTGCCAGGCAGAGAGGGAAAGGCGTGGTGGTGGCTGTGGACAGCGCGGTGGAGACACTAAGAGAAACACTTAAAGCAATGCCGGAGGGCGAGCAGGTAAGCAACAGGGAGCGTGTGTGAGGGATGCGCGCTCGTGAGGGATGCGTGCTCGTGAGGGATGGTGCTTGTGTTGTGAGGGATGGTGCTTGTGAGGGATGGTGCTTGTGAGGGATGGTGCTTGTGAGGGATGGTGCTTGTGAGGGATGGTGCTTGTGAGGGATGGTGCTTGTGAGGGATGGTGCTTATGGCTGTTCCTCGTTCCATGGGGGAGTGGTGGCGGCTGTGTGTGGCACAGTGGGGAAAGGAAACAACTCTTGTAGACCTTTTTGATAAGTTTGACAAGTGCTGCTCGAAGCAGTGGATGGCTGGCTGGGGAGCAGAGATGGGGCAGTCACAGTGTTAGGCAGTGAGGATCCTTGAAAGCTGAAACCGGCTGGGAAAAGACGCACAGAATGCCTGCCTGCAGCTAGCTGTTCCTCTCTCCTCCCACACCGCCCTGCATCACTGCAGGTGGCAGCAGATGCCTGTGCGGCTCTGCCATAAGTGCAGTTGCAGGCGCTGGTGAGGTGGGGAGGGGCCCTGTGAGGCGTTCTAAAGCCCTCGCCTGAAGCTATCTCCCTCTCTCTTTCCTCCCCGCCCCACACAACACAACACCCCATCACTGCAAGTGACAGAAGATGCGGCTCTGCCATACGTGCAGGGTGCTGTCGCCCAGGGGCGTGCGTGCTAGAGCCCATGCACCCACCCGTTTCTCCGTGATTGAAGAAGTGTTTTGAGACGTCTCAAAACACTTCTTCAATCACGTGGCTCTGCCTTACGTGCAGGGCGCTGGCGCCCAGGGGCGTGCTAGAGCCCATGCACCCATCCGCTTCTCCCCCTCCCGCGGAGGGCATGAGGGGCCTGTGAGGCGTGCTAGAGCCCCTTCAGCCATCCGTTCCTTTCCTCCTCCCCCACACCATCTCACACCTCCCCACCCTGCACCACCACACCGCAGGTGACAGCAGACGCGGCTCTGCCGTACGTGCAGGCGCTGGTGGGGGCGGAGGGCGTGAGGGCCCTCTGAGGCGTGAGGTCCCTGTGAGGCGTGAGGGCCCTGTGAGGCGTGCTACAGCCTATGCACCCATCCGTTTCTCCCCTCCGCCACCGCCCCACTCCGTCCCACACCTCTCCTCTCCGTGCCATATGCAGGTGACAGCAGACACGTCTCTGCCGTACGTGGAGGCGTTGGTGGGGGCGGAGGGCGTGAGGAGCCTCGCCTTCACCTTCCACCGCCCCTCCCACGTGCACGCCATCGGCAGCTTCGCCCACCACTCCGCCTCCCACCCTGCATCGCACACACATGGGGGCACTGACGGTGGTGGTGATGGTGGTGAAGGGGGAGAGATTGGAGAGGGCGGGGCATCGGGTGTGGGGAGTGTAACAAGGCCGTGCACGCATGTGGACGTGGCTGTCGAGATGCCTCAGGTGTGGTGCTGTGGGGTCTGGTGCGGTGCAGATGGATTTCGTGGTGACGCACGCGTCAGGTGTGCCGCGCATGCTTGCACTGATGCCTCCCCTGGAAGCGACGGTGATGCTAATTCGAGTTTTACGATGTCTGCAAATTCTATTCACACCTCCTAAAGCCATAATCCATGGAGACACAGGTTAAGCAGGCACTTTCCTTACGAAAAGCCGCCATAGATGTGCCATGCCCCTGCATAGTATGTGTGCTTCTGCCCCTCGCCCCATCCTTTCCACCCCTCCTCTGACTGTGTGTGTGGCAGGCGTTCTTTCGCAGCAAGGACCTGCGGAACCACAAATACCTTGCCTTGCCCGTTACATTCATGCTGAACCATCTAGTTTTGAGGCGCCTCAAAACTAGAGTTACCTTGCCCGTTACATCCATGCTGAACCATCTAGTTTTGAGGCGCCTCAAAACTAGAGTTACCTTGCCCGTTACATCCATGCTGAACCATCTAGTTTTGAGGCGCCTCAAAACTAGAGTTACCTTGCCCGTTACATCCATGCTGAACCATCTAGTTTTGAGGCGCCTCAAAACTAGAGTTACCTTGCCCGTTACATCCATGCTGAACCATCTAGTTTTGAGGCGCCTCAAAACTAGAGTTACCTTGCCCGTTACATCCATGCTGAACCATCTAGTTTTGAGGCGCCTCAAAACTAGAGTTACCTTGCCCGTTACATCCATGCTGAACCATCTAGTTTTGAGGCGCCTCAAAACTAGAGTTACCTTGCCCGTTACATCCATGCTGAACCATCTAGTTTTGAGGCGCCTCAAAACTAGAGTTACCTTGCCCGTTACATCCATGCCGAACCATCTAGTTTTGAGGCGCCTCAAAACTATATCTTGCCCGTTACATCCATGCTGAACCATCTAGTTTTGAGGCGCCTCAAAACTAGAGTTACCTTGCCCGTTACATCCATGCCGAACCATCTAGTTTTGAGGCGCCTCAAAACTAGAGTTACCTTGCCCGTTACATCCATGCTGAACCATCTAGTTTTGAGGCGCCTCAAAACTAGAGTTACCTTGCCCGTTACATCCATGCCGAACCATCTAGTTTTGAGGCGCCTCAAAACTAGAGTTACCTTGCCCGTTACATCCATGCTGAACCATCTAGTTTTGAGGCGCCTCAAAACTAGAGTTACCTTGCCCGTTACATCCATGCTGAACCATCTAGTTTTGAGGCGCCTCAAAACTAGAGTTACCTTGCCCGTTACATCCATGCTGAACCATCTAGTTTTGAGGCGCCTCAAAACTAGAGTTACCTTGCCCGTTACATCCATGCCGAACCATCTAGTTTTGAGGCGCCTCAAAACTAGAGTTACCTTGCCCGTTACATCCATGCTGAACCATCTAGTTTTGAGGCGCCTCAAAACTAGAGTTACCTTGCCCGTTACATCCATGCTGAACCATCTAGTTTTGAGGCGCCTCAAAACTAGAGTTACCTTGCCTGTTACATCCATGCTGAACCATCTAGTTTTGAGGCGCCTCAAAACTAGAGTTACCTTGCCCGTTACATCCATGCTGAACCATCTAGTTTTGAGGCGCCTCAAAACTAGAGTTACCTTGCCCGTTACATCCATGCTGAACCATCTAGTTTTGAGGCGCCTCAAAACTAGAGTTACCTTGCCCGTTACATCCATGCCGAACCATCTAGTTTTGAGGCGCCTCAAAACTAGAGTTACCTTGCCCGTTACATCCATGCTGAGCCATCTAGTTTTGAGGCGCCTCAAAACTAGAGTTACCTTGCCCGTTACATCCATGCTGAACCATCTAGTTTTGAGGCGCCTCAAAACTAGAGTTACCTTGCCCGTTACATCCATGCCGAACCATCTAGTTTTGAGGCGCCTCAAAACTAGAGTTACCTTGCCCGTTACATCCATGCCGAACCATCTAGTTTTGAGGCGCCTCAAAACTATACGTTGCCCGTTACATCCATGCCGAACCATCTAGTTTTGAGGCGCCTCAAAACTAGAGTTACCTTGCCCGTTACATCCATGCTGAACCATCTAGTTTTGAGGCGCCTCAAAACTAGAGTTACCTTGCCCGTTACATCCATGCTGAACCATCTAGTTTTGAGGCGCCTCAAAACTAGAGTTACCTTGCCCGTTACATCCATGCTGAACCATCTAGTTTTGAGGCGCCTCAAAACTAGAGTTACCTTGCCCGTTACATCCATGCCGAACCATCTAGTTTTGAGGCGCCTCAAAACTAGAGTTACCTTGCCCGTTACATCCATGCCGAACCATCTAGTTTTGAGGCGCCTCAAAACTAGAGTTACCTTGCCCGTTACATCCATGCTGAACCATCTAGTTTTGAGGCGCCTCAAAACTAGAGTTACCTTGCCCGTTACATCCATGCTGAACCATCTAGTTTTGAGGCGCCTCAAAACTAGAGTTACCTTGCCCGTTACATCCATGCCGAACCATCTAGTTTTGAGGCGCCTCAAAACTAGAGTTACCTTGCCCGTTACATCCATGCTGAACCATCTAGTTTTGAGGCGCCTCAAAACTAGAGTTACCTTGCCCGTTACATCCATGCTGAACCATCTAGTTTTGAGGCGCCTCAAAACTAGAGTTACCTTGCCCGTTACATCCATGCCGAACCATCTAGTTTTGAGGCGCCTCAAAACTAGAGTTACCTTGCCCGTTACATCCATGCTGAACCATCTAGTTTTGAGGTGCCTCAAAACTATACCTTGCCCGTTACATCCATGCTGAACCATCTAGTTTTGAGGCGCCTCAAAACTAGAGTTACCTTGCCCGTTACATCCATGCCGAACCATCTAGTTTTGAGGCGCCTCAAAACTAGAGTTACCTTGCCCGTTACATCCATGCTGAACCATCTAGTTTTGAGGCGCCTCAAAACTAGAGTTACCTTGCCCGTTACATCCATGCTGAACCATCTAGTTTTGAGGCGCCTCAAAACTAGAGTTACCTTGCCCGTTACATCCATGCTGAACCATCTAGTTTTGAGGCGCCTCAAAACTAGAGTTACCTTGCCCGTTACATCCATGCTGAACCATCGCATGCACTCTGCTGCATCCACTCACACGCACCCCGCTCTCTCACACGCACCCCGCTCTCTCACACGCACCCCGCTCTCTCACACGCACCCCGCTCTCTCTCACACGCACCCCGCTCTCTCACACGCACCCCGCTCTCTCACACGCACCCCGCTCTCTCACACGCACCCCGCTCTCTCACACGCACCCCGCTCTCTCTCACACGCACCCCGCTCTCTCACACGCACCCCGCTCTCTCTCACACGCACCCCGCTCTCTCACACGCACCCCGCTCTCTCACACGCACCCCGCTCTCTCACACGCACCTCACTCTCTCACACGCACCCCCCTCTCTCACACGCACCCCCCTCTCTCACACGCACCCCCCTCTCTCACACGCACCCCGCTCACTCACACGCACCCCGCTCTCTCGCACGCACCTCGTCCATCATCATCCCATCCCATCCCCCACCCTCCTCCTCCCCCCTCCCCCTCTTTCCCTGCAGGCGCGCTTCTGAGAAATGGAGGTGGGGAATCATCGCTACTCTGCCCGTCCCATCGCATGCACTGTGCGGGCGGACTCGTTCTCTCACACGCCCCTCGGTCGTCATCGCATCGCCCCATTCGTCCTTGCCGCCCACTTTCCTTCCCTGCAGGCGTGCTTCCGGGAAAAGGACGTGCTGAACCACCGCTACTTCGCCAGGCGGGCGCTGTACCTCGCCACGCTGGCACGCCACCTGGCGGCGTGCGATTGGGTGGCGGCAGTGGAGTGGAGCACTCTGAGGGATGACGTGTGCAAGCCCATCCTCCTTGTCGTCCCTCGTGAGCTGATTTCCTTGCCTGCCATAGGGTCCCATGGCGCGCCCTGTTGTAATGCCTTACCATGCCATGCCATGACGTGTGCAAGCCCATCCTCCTTGTCGTCCCTCGTGAGCTGATTTCCTTGCCTGCCATAGGGTCCCATGGCGCGCCCTGTTGTAATGCCTTACCATGCCATGCCATGACGTGTGCAAGCCCATCCTCCTTGTCGTCCCTCGTGAGCTGATTTCCTTGCCTGCCATAGGGTCCCATGGCGCGCCCTGTTGTAATGCCTTACCATGCCATGCCTTGACGTGTGCAAGCCCATCCTCCTTGTCGTCCCTCGTGAGCTGATTTCCTTGCCTGCCATAGGGTCCCATGGCGCGCCCTGTTGTAATGCCTTACCATGCCATGCCATGACGTGTGCAAGCCCATCCTCCTTGTCGTCCCCCGTTAGCAAGCTGTTTGCCATGCCTTGCCATAGTGTGCCTTGCCATAGCGTGCCTTGCCATAGCATGCCTTGCTGTCACATACCATGCTGTTGCAATGCCATACCATACCATACCATGACGTGTGTCAAGCCTATCCTCGTTTTGTTTTCATCCCTTGTGAGATCGCTGCTTGCCATGCCATGCGATGGTGTACCATGTATGCCCTATTCTATTGTGATGCCCCATGCCATGCCATGGCATGCGCCATTGTAATGCCATACCAAGACTGGCCCTTCAGCACGCCATGCCATGAGACACCTCGTTAATCTCATCCGCCTTTCTGAAAAAAACTCTTCTTTTCCTCCCCCCAGTCACCCTCCACTCATATGCGTCCCCCAATCACCCTCCCCTCCCCTCCTTCCCCTCCACACCTCTCCTCCACTCCCCCCTTCCCCCAAACACCCTCCCTCCACTCCTCCCCCGCACAGGGGCGTGCAAGAGCTGGTCTTTTCGCCTGCTGACCTGCCTGCCCCCCGCCACCTTCCCCGCCCGCAAGCTCGCCCCCGCACGCAACAACGTGCGCCAAGCCGCGTCTGCAGGTGATTTGCTAAGCTGCCTCTGCAGGTGGGCTTTTTTTTAGTCGACTCAAAACTCTGCAGGTGGGCTTCTTTGCACTGCAACCTGCTGGCATGGCATGCCACACACGGATAGCTCCCACAGATGGCACTGCTTGCTTCGACTTGATGCTATGTATGCACATCCTCCCATGGCTGCATTTGCATGGGTGCTCTATATACCCCGCCTACTGCCCCTATTAGTACCATGCTTCCCCCCCTCCCCCTTGCCCCACACATGGCATGGCAGGAGGCGAGCTGCTGGCAACGCCGCACTACAACATGGGTGTGCTGGAGGATGCGGTACACACGGCCGCCCATCACCTCGTCTCGCATGCCATGGGGCTCGTGCCCGCCCTGCCCCATGCGCTCGTGCTGCTCAAGGTGACTGACTGAATGATTCTTAGTGCATCGCCTTTGTAGTATGGTGCCCACCTTCTCCTCAAGGGCACTCATGCATTGCACGTGCGGCACTGTCGCCCATACCCCTCTCCTGCGCACACATGGCATGGCATGGCATAGCTAGGCGAAACTGTTGAATGCGATGCCTTGCCGTCGGTGGCCTCACGACTCTCAATCATTTCATGGCTTCATTCCTCACTGTGCTTTCCATGCCATGCCATGCCATGCCATTAATAATGCAGCAGGCACAGCCGCCCCTGGTTACCACACTCCATGCATGCATGCATGTGGGATGCGCTGCAGGGATGGACAGTGACATCTTATTCCTTGCAACGTGTGACACTGCAACATGTCCTTGCCGATATGCCTGCTGCTGTATCCCGCTCACGTTCCTTCCCACTCCCATTCCGTGCATTCCCCCACCACGTGCCACGTGTCGCATGCTCATCTCCCCCCAGGTCTGGGCTCGCCAGCGCTACGGCACCAAGCGCCACGTGGCGCCTGCTGATTGGCTGAACGGCTTCCAGCTGTCCCTGCTGGCAGCACACCTGGCATCGCCCCACAACCCCCACCGCCGCATCATGCCTGCCATGTCAGCATTCCAGATCTTCCGATGTGTCATCGATGCCATGGGTATGTGGCATGGATGCCATGGGTATGTGGCATGGATGCCATGGGTATGTGGATGGATGCCATGGGTATGTGGCATGGATGCCATGGGTATGCAGCATGGATGCCATGGGTATGTGGCATGGATGCCATGGGTATTGATGTTTGTGGCATGATGCTATATTAAAAACATTGTTCGCATGAGCCTTGTGCCTTTGCCATGCCCATGCGCTCGTCTCACCATACCACATCCCACCACGCTACCATGCATCCATGCCCCATCCATGCGCCATGATCATCCATGACTCCTCTCCCCTGCGCATGAGCATGCAGGCAACTCGGATCTCCTCCAGCAGCCCATCTTCCTCGTCGCCCCTGATGGTTCCCCCAACGCGCTCCAGGCCAATGCTCAGGTGGCCCCCTCTTCCTCCTCGTACTCCCCTTCCTCCTCGTACTCCCCTTCCTCCTCGTACTCCCCTTCCTCCTCGTACTCCCATTCCTCTCTCATTGACCATTGTCTCTTCTTCGTTCATCACACTTCATTACCATCTTAGCCATTCAAGGCCAGGTCAAGAAACTGGGTGCTGTACGATTGCGTCATTTTCCCGTTTCACTCTTGCTCTCTTGTTTCCTCTCCTACTCTCGTTCGCTGTTGTTCCCTCTCATTTCCTCCCATCCCTCTTCAACTTATCTCATAAACCCCTTGCTGCTACCCCGTATGCCATCACCACCCCACCAGGCGCGCAGGGACATGCAGAGGGCGTTCGACTGGCTGCTCTGCGACCCCTCAGGCACCGTCAACTTCGCCTCCCGCGTCTCCAAGTCCGCCCTCCACCAGGTGCGCCTTCCTCCACCAGGTGCGCCATGCCCTCCACCAGGTGCGCCCTCCACCAGGTGCGCCCTCCACCAGTTGCGCCCTCCACCAGGTGCGCCCTCCACCAGTTGCGCCCTCCACCAGGTGCGCCCTCCACCAGGTGCGCCCTCCACCAGTTGCGCCCTCCACCAGTTGCGCCCTCCACCAGGTGCGCCCTCCACCAGGTGCGCCCTCCACCAGGTGCGCCCTCCACCAGTTGCGCCCTCCACCAGTTGCGCCCTCCACCAGGTGCGCCCTCCACCAGGTGCGCCCTCCACCAGGTGCGCCCTCCACCAGGTGCGCCCTCCACCAGTTACGCCCTCCACCAGTTACGCCCTCCACCAGTTACGCCCTCCACCAGTTACGCCCTCCACCTGCTCACGTCTGTTACCAAGCAGCGCATTCAGCTATCCCGCATGCATGCCCAAGGTCCTTTCCACAGCAAAATTGGGTAGGAAGGGGGACGCCATGGCAAGTAGTTGAAGGTGAGTGCACATCTTGAGCCGAGCCCCTCTTCTCACCTCCTCACTCTCCTCCATTCATGCCAATTCTTCCTCTACTACCCATCAGATTCCTCAGGACGCGCAGCACACATACAGCATGATCAATTCGGGGGGAGTTTCACGGGGCAAGGTGTTTCAATCAGTGTGACCGACACTCCCCTCCCACCTTCCCTTCACCCCCCCCCCATCAGATTCGTCTAGACGCCCAGCACACATACAGTGTGATCAAGTCAGGGGGAGCACCCGCGGCATGCCTGCCGGGGCAGGCAGTGCTGCTGGCCTTCATGCAGCCCTGTGGCCTGCCCGACCGATTCGATCTAATTGCCACGTGAGTGAGATCTTATCTGCCGCATATGAGGATCTGATGGTAGAATCTCAAGCTGTTGGTTTCATAGGAGAAGAAAAGTGGGCTAACTAAGAGGTGCGCTCTCAGAATTATTGGTTGGCTTGGCCGGCATTTTTGGTTGTCCAATGATTGTTGGGGCGAGTCACCAATTATTGGGGCACCAACAATCAGTTGACGAGGGCCACCAAAGGTGGCCCCCATCAATTGTAGCATACGGGGGTTGTTGGGCCGCCCCAAACCAAATCGGTAGCGGCGTGTCGAACGAATTGTACATCCAGTATTGGGCGTAACACTAGCACGACGAATGTAACATCATAGTGGGTGATGATGTTTCTCCTCCCTTTTATGAATGGCATGCGTAAGTTTCACCCTCCCCTCTTTTCCCTCTTCCTCTCTTCTCCTTCTCCTACCCTACCCTGCCTACGACAATCCATCCCACCACATCCCACCCCACCCCATCCCATCCCATCCCATCCCATCCCATCCCATCCCATCCCATCCCGTCCCATCCCATCCCATCCCATCCCATCCCATCCCATCCCATCCCATCCCATCCCATCCCATCCCACACCAGAGTACACGACACGCTACCTGCAACGCCCAAAGCAGCGCTACTGCTGGACGAGCCGCCTCACCGGCGCAGGGAGGGGGCGGCAGGGAGCGTGGTGGCGAGGGGCATGGGGGAGAGGGCCACAGCTGTGCGGGTGCACCCCAGGGAGGTGCCTTCTGGCTGGCGCCTGGAGCAGGTGCGTGTGGTGCTGAATAAGAAACAGGACTGAAGTGGTTTCTTGCTTAAAGCATATTATAATCAGGATCATCGTTTTCATGAAATCTGGGGTTTATTTAAACTTCAGGAGAGGAGAGGGCCAGTCACCTCTGCCCAATCCCTGTGTCACCTCACCACAGGTCTAAAAGAGCTCCCCACAGGGCAACCCATGGTTTGCCTCTGCCCCAATCCCCTTTGTACTCTCAAAATGCCACTCTTCCAATACTGGTGTCAGTGGGGTTGGTGTGGTGGTGGAATTGGTGGTGATGGATGGGATGGCCACGGGGTGCTGGCAGTGCGGTTGGAAATGGTAGGCATGTGTGCTGTTTTGTATGGCTGCGGCGAGCGTGTGTTGATGCTGGTGACGGGAGTTCCTGCTGCTGCTGGGCCGAGCGCTTGTGGCTGGTGTGACCAGCTCGGCACAGCAAAGCAGTGTACTAGGTCCTATTCATCCTCTCTTCAGTTAGCTAGCCAAACCTTTTGCAGTTTTGTTCGCACATAGTAATGCACCTCCTCTCCACCATCCTACAGGGCATGCCATCACTCGGTGCCGTGTGCTTGACCCATGATAGGCTGTGCCGTGTGTGCACATGGCCACCAATAGGGATGAGCAAATGGCGAACACGAACATGTTCGTGTTCGCCTGGGCTCGAACATGGCCGTTCGGCGAACCGAACACTGTTCGGTTCGCCGAACACTTTACACCAGAAAGGGTGTTCGAAGTTCGCCAAGAGAGGCGAACATTTCGTACGTTTTGGCGAACACGAACACGTTCCCCCAGAACATGTTCGCGTTCGCCTTAAAGGACCTTCTCAGATCCAAGTAGAGTGAAATCCAAATGTTTCACATTCCCTCCCACCACCCCCCAAGCCAGTACCGCCCTGCTTCATCCATGCTAGTGCCAGCGTGTGACGGCGAGAGGCTACATCTGCACTTAAGCAACGGCGAAATGCTAGATCTACGCTTAAGCAACGGCGAAATGCTAGATCTACGCTTAAGCAACGGCGAAATGCTAGATCTACGCTTAAGCAACGGCGAAATGCTAGATCTGAGCTTAAGCAACGGCGAAATGCTAGATCTACGCTTAAGCAACGGCGAAATGCTAGATCTGAGCTTAAGCAACGGCGAAATGCTAGATCTACGCTTAAGCAACGGCGAAATGCTTGATCTGCACTTAGGCAACGGCGAAATGCCTTGATCCGCACTAAAGCAACGGCGAAATGCCTTGATCTGAGCCCAAACACCAATGCCCGCGACCTAAAAATTGGTCGCGGGCCTATTCGTCGACGAACACATTGGTGTTCGTCGAAGGCCCGTGTCGAACACGAACACGTTCGTGTTCGACGCGCCTCGGCCAGCTGAGCCGGGCGAACGGCGAACGTGTTCGGGCGAACACCGAACACGTTCGCCCCGAACACTTTAGGCCAAAAAAAAATCCTGTTCGGTTCGCCTCGAACACGTTCGAGGCGAACCGAACAGGTGTTCGTCATATTGCTCATCCCTAGCCACCAAAACCCCGCCGCCGCCTGTGTTGGTGGGGGGAGTGGCGCATTTGTGGTACAGCTCACTGTTCTAATCGGAGTGTCGCTTTGAGACAAATGTTGTGTTCAAGTTTCAACCATTTCCCTCATCGATCCCCCCCGTCGCCCCCCAACGTCTCCACTTCCACCACAGGGCCTGCCAGCACTGGACAGTGCGTCGGTGCTGATCGGAGTCTCACTGGCGTCGCCCGATACCGCTCTGCGCCTCGTTGACAAGGGCCCCAGCGCTGACAACAAGGCCGAGGTGAGTGCCGTTAGGTAAGGCTGGTTGCTTTGGTCTGCTGCTGCTGGGCACATGCATGCAGCTGCTATGATTTCTTTAACTGGCTTGGAATTGCATTCTACAAATGCCCCTTGGGTTTGTCACCCACCCTTACCCGCATCTTGCAAATACGCCACTCCTTTCCCCACCTTCTCTCCTCCCCCTACCCACTCTCCACTCACCCCTCTCCCCTCGTCCCTCGTCCCCCAGGCGCTCAAGTTCCGCACCTTCTGGGGGCCCAAGGCGGAGCTGAGGCGCTGGAAGGACGGCACCATCACTGAGGCCGTTGGTGCGTGTGTGCTGTGCGGTGGAGAGGGGTGTAGTGCAGTGAGGAGGAGGGAGAGGCAGTGAGAGTGGGGTTGGGGTACCTCAGAGCATGAATCTGTTGGAGGATGCACATCACATCACAGCTCTCTACTTACACTTGCCACGCTCTAAAAGAGGAGAGCTAGGAGCCCTGGGGAGAGCTAGGAGCCCTGGGGTGGGGAGAGCTTCTCACCACGCCTCTTTGCCTTTGCTCTCTGCGTGCCTTCGTCTGCATTCATGCACCTGCTGCTCTACCTCCCTCTGCCCTGGTGCTCTCTTCTACCTTCCCTCTGTCCCCTTGCTTCCCCTCTGTCCCCTTCTCCCCCCTCGCAGCATGGGAAGCCCCCCTTATGGAGCGCCACCTCATCCCTGCACGCCTCATCAGCTTCCCCCTGTAGCGTCTCTTAGGGGTGGACGAGGCATGCTGCTCCCTCACGTGCATCACCTTACCCTCCCTCTCCTCCACATGCACCACGCCCTGTTTCCCCCCTGTCTCCCCCTCCAGCATGGGAAGCCCCTCCCACGGAGCGCCACCTCATCCCGGCACGCCTCATCAGCTTCGCCCTGCAGCGCCACCTGGGGGTGGATGAGGGCGCTGTGAGGGTGGCTGCAGGGCAGCTGGACTTTGCACTGCAGGTGGCGGGCAAGGGTGAGTAGTTGGAGGGAGGAAGAAGGGGCGTGCGTGTGTTGTGTAGATTGGGATGGGCTGGATATGACCTTAGAGTCGACTCAAAGCGCCACCTGGGGGAGGACGAGGGCGCCGTGCAGGTGGCTGCGGGGCAGCTGGACTAGGGATGAGCAATATGACGAACACCTGTTCGGTTCGCCTCGAACACGTTCGAGGCGAACCGAACAGGATTTTTTTTTGGCCTAAACTGTTCGGGGCGAACGTGTTCGGTGTTCGCCCGAACACGTTCGCCGTTCGCCCGGCTCAGCTGGCCGAGGCGCGTCGAACACGAACGTGTTCGTGTTCGACACGGGCCTTCGATGAACACCAATGTGTTCGTCGACGAATAGGCCCGCGACCAATTTTTAGGTCGCGGGCCTTGGTGTTTGGGCTCAGATCAAGGCATTTCGCCGTTGCTTAAGTGCGGATCAAGGCATTTCGCCGTTGCTTAAGTGCGGATCAAGGCATTTCGCCGTTGCTTAAGTATAGATCTAACATTTCGCCGTTGCTTAAGTGCGGATCAAGGCATTTCGCCGTTGCTTAAGCTCAGATCTAGCATTTCGCCGTTGCTTAAGCGTAGATCTAGCATTTCGCCGTTGCTTAAGCGTAGATCTAGCATTTCGCCGTTGCACAAGCGTAGATCTAGCATTTCGCCGTTGCTTAAGCGTAGATCTAGCATTTCGCCGTTGCACGCTGGCACTAGCATGGATGAAGCAGGGCGGGACTGGCTTGGGGGGTGGTGGGAGGGAATGTGAAACATTTGGATTTCACTCTACTTGGATCTGAGAAGGTCCTTTAAGGCGAACGCGAACATGTTCTGGGCGAACGTGTTCGTGTTCGCCAAAACGTACGAAATGTTCGCCTATCTTGGCGAACTTCGAACACCCTTTTTGGTGTAAAGTGTTCGGCGAACCGAACAGTGTTCGGTTCGCCGAACGGCCATGTTAGAGCCCAGGCGAACACGAACATGTTCGTGTTCGCCATTTGCTCATCCCTAAGCTGGACTTTGCACTGCAGGTGGCGGGCAAGGGTGCGTTGTGGGGAGAGTTGCGTGCGCGTGGGTGTGCTGTGGTTTGATGGGATGGGATGGGATGGGAGGGATGGGATGGGGTGGCTGGGATGGATGGATGTGATGGGATGGGATGGGGTTTCTGACAGAGTTTATTGAACGTACATGAGTGTATTCCATGACAATGCCTTGACTTATGTGTGTTAACTTCTCCACCGCTTCCTTCCCCACCACTCTCTCAGCAGCGTGTATCCCTCTTCCCTCTTGAACCACATCCTGCAGTGCAATCTTTCATCTCTGCAATGCGATGCAATCACGCCCCTCGTCTCACTGTAGCCTTGCAGCATCTCTGGCCAAGCTGGCAACCCTAAGCCTTTAACAAAAACCCTCTTTCCTACACCCTAAACTCTGTGTGCACCTTGCCATTGTTACCTCTCCCTCCCCCCCTCACCACTCCTATGACTACCATCCCCTCCACAGACCCAGCATCGTCCGCCCCAGCGCTAAGCGCAGCGTTTGAGCGCCTGGCCTCGCTGCTGCGCCACCTGCCTGACATCATAGGCCCTGGCATTCACAGTAGGCTTTGAGCACCTCTCTGCCCAACCAGCTGCCTCTTCATCTCGCTGCAACTGCCTCCCTCCCTCCCCCCTTCACCATCCCAATCGCTGCCATCCCGCCCACAGACCCAGCATCATCGGCCCCAGCGCTGAGCACAGCATTTGAGCGCCTGGCCTCGCTGCTGCGCCACCTGCCCTCACTGCCCCTTGATCTGCTTGCACATCCCTCCCATCCCACAGACCCAGCATCATCAGCACCAGCGCTGAGCACAGCCTTTGAGCGCCTGGCCTCGCTGCTGCGCCATCTGCCTGACCTGCCACTCTCCGTTGTCGCCCTGCACTCCCTCTCCCCCGGTGGGTGCACTCCCTCTCCCCTGGTGAGTACCACTCTTCCTTTCATCCATCCATCCATCCGTTCCCCTTTACCTTGCTCGTATCACTCACGAGGATCAGAGTTGCTGTTGTATGTGCTGCGTGCTCTACAGAAAATGCCGATCACCCATCCCCATACCCATCACCATTTCCATCACCTTTCCCTTCACCATACCCATCCCCATCCCCTCCCCATGCCCATCACCATGCCCATCCCAATTCCCTCCACCATGACCCTATGCATGCTCATTGCTGGCTTGACTTTCCCCTCATTCCCTTCCACCCTTCCTCCTCCCTGTCCTCAATCCCTCCCTCCCTCCCTTCCTTCCTCCCTACCTCCCCCCACGGCAGCCACGAGGGGAGCAGCAGCCTTTCCCCCATCGCCCTGCCCACCACCCGCTGCAGGTGGGGCATCAGACGGGGAGGGCGTGTGGCGGAGATGTGTGGACCCCATGCCCGTGGCTGTGCAGGTGAGAGGGGCGAGGGGGGGAGCGGAGGCGGGAGGGGGACAATAGGTAGAGGTGCGGGAGTGTATGCCATGGACAGTAGGGGGGATTGGCAGTGCGGGCAGATGAGGGCGTGTGGCGGCGCTGTGTGGACCCCGTGCCCGTGGCCGTGCAGGTGAGGGAGAGGGGGGAGGGGTAGAGGGCAGAGCAGAGGGGCGAGACCGTATGACAGGCACAGGGGACGCTTCATGGGGAGGGAGGGGTAATGGGACAGGGGTAGGCATGTAGCTGCTGTGGATACTCCAGTACCAGTTGACCTGTGCTCCCACCAGCAGTGCCCTTCATCTCTTCCACTCACCTCACCTGTAGCTACTTGGCGAGTGCTGCGTTGGACCGGTGGTGATCCGTCGGTCTGCTGGAGAAGCTTCCAGTCATGGCCCACATGTGACTAGCCTCGCTGCTTCCTCTCCCCTTTCACTCCACCCTCCTCCCTCACCCCCCGCCCTCTCCCCCTCCGCCCTCTCCCCCTCCGCCCTCTCCCCCTCCGCCCTCTCCCCCTCCGCCCTCTCCCCCTCCGCCCTCTCCCCCTCCGCCCTCTCCCCACTCCGCCCTCCCCCTCCGTCCCAATCCGCCCTCTCCCTTCCCCCCCCGCCGCCCCAGCTGGAGGCGTCCAGCAAGTGGCCCGATGATCCCAAGGCTCTCTTCCTCACACGCCACGCCTTCTGCCTGCAGATCGCCAGCAGGTGGGGTGAGGTGGGGTGGGGTGGGGTCGAATGGCGTTTTGCGAAAGTAAGTCTGCTGAGATGCTAGAAGATGAGCCCGGTGGAGGCAGTGAGAGGGGTTGAGAGCGGTTGTGGATGTGATGGTCGCTGGTCCTCATGTATGTGCCCTCATGTGACGTGTCTTGCTCATGTGACGTGGCTTGCTCATGTGACGTGGCTTGCTCATGTGACGTGGCTTGCTCATGTGACGTGTCTTGCTCATGTGACGTGTCTTGCTCATGTGACGTGTCTTGCTCATGTGACGTGGCTTGCTCATGTGACGTGTCTTGCTCATGTGACGTGTCTTGCTCATGTGACGTGTCTTGCTCATGTGCTGTGTCTTGCTCATGTGACATGTCTTGCTCATTTGACATGTCTTGCTCATGTGACGTGTCTTGCTCCTGTGACGTGTCTTGCTCATGTGACGTGTCTTGCTCATGTGACGTGTCTTGCTCATGTGCTGTGTCTTGCTCATGTGACATGTCTTGCTCATGTGACATGTCTTGCTCATGTGACGTGTCTTGCTCATGTGACGGGTCTTGCTCATGTGCCGTGTCTTGCTCATGTGCCGTGTCTTGCTCATGTGACGTGTCTTGCTCATGTGACGGGTCTTGCTCATGTGACATGCCTTGCTCATGCTCCTCACTCCTCTCCTTCCGACTGGCGAAGAGCAATGCGCCCTCCTCCTCCTCCTCGCACTCGCCAGTCGCCTCTATGACTGACTTCTTCCTTTCCCCAGCTCCCCAGGAAGATCACGGGGTGGATGTGGAGGCAGCAAGGGGTGCTGCGGATGTGATGCAGCTTGTAAGCCTTGCATTCCGTCCTTTCCACTCCCATCCTCCATTCCACCCCGTTTCCTCCTTTCTTCGAATGCCATGGCAGTCTGCAGGAGGCACACGGGGTGGCGGTGGAGGCAGCACGGGGAGCAGTGGATGTGATGATTGATGGCTTCGCCTTCCCACACTCCACTTCCCTCCTGGTCCCCCCTCTCTTTGCATGGCAGTCTGCAGGAGGCACACGGGGTGGCGGTGGAGGCAGCACGGGGAGCAGTGGATGTGATGATTGATGGCTTCGCCTTCCGCCTCGTGCTGCTGCATGACTATGGTGCGATGGCATGGCATGGCATGGCATGGCATGATGCATGACTATGGTGAGATGGCATGACTATGGTGAGATGGCATGGCATGGCATGGCATGGCATGACTATGGTGAGATGGCATGACTATGGTGAGATGGCATGACTATGGTGAGATGGCATCACTATGGTGAGATGGCATGGCATGATGCATGACTATGGTGAGATGGCATGGCATGATGCATGACTATGGTGAGATGGCATGGCATGATGCATGACTATGGTGAGATGGCATGGCATGATGCATGACTATGGTGAGATGGCATGGCATGATGCATGACTATGGTGGGGGCCATGGCATGGCATGCTGCATGACTATGGTGGGCCATGGCATAACATGGCATAACATGGCATGACATGGCATGACATGATGCAGACACAGTCATTAGTGGTGTGCTTAGAGTTGCATCCAATATATCTCCAGTCGCTTCACATGTCGGCATGGTTTTCAAGAATCCCTCGCGTCCTTTGCATTGGACCTTGCTCTCACATCCTTTCCTCATTCTCTTCCTTCCCTTCACACCTTCACTCCCACCCCGTCAGTCCCACCAGCCGAAGACGTCACCTCCTCCAACCCCTCCTCCTCCCTCACTCCTCTCACCACGCCCTCGCCCCTCTCCGCCCTCCCTCTCTCCCCCTCCGCCTTCTCCGAGACTCACCGCACGCTGCAGCACCACAGCACACTCAACGGACTCACGGGCCGCCATCCAGCCTTTGGCCCCATTGCCAGGTACGGCCACTCTCTATGCTGGTACAGGTGGTGTGGTGCCGATACAGGTGATGGCTGTTGTGATGCGGATGGCTGTTGTGATGCGGATGGCAATGATCATAGTTGTGGTGTTAGCACCACAGCACTCTCAACGGTCTCACCGGCCGCCACCCCGCCTTTGGCCCCATCGCAAGGTGACACTCTATGCTGATACAGGTGGTGCCGATACAGGTGATTGTTGTGATGCTGATGGCAACGCTGGTGGTGGTGGCGATGGCACTGCAGCAGCACCACCACCAGCGTTGGCAACGCGACAGCACTGCAGCATCACAGCAGCACCACAGCAGCATCACAGCAGCACCATAGCAGCACCATAGCAGCACCATAGCAGCATCACAGCAGCACCACAGCAGCACCACAGCAGCACCAGCAGCGTTGGCAACGCAATGGCCGTGCAGCCGCAGCACTCTCAATGGGCTCACTGGCCGTCACCCTGCCTTTGGTCCATCGCCAGGTGATGATGGGTGAGTGCAGGTGATGATGGGTGAGTGCAGGTGATGATGGGTGAGTGCAGGTGATGATGGGTGAGTGCAGGTGATGATGGGTGAGTGCAGGTGGCGGTGGGTGAGTGCAGGTGGTGATGGGTGAGTGCAGGTGCTGATGGGTGGGTGCAGGTGGTGACGGTTGAGTGCAGATGGTGATGGCATGGGTGATGATTGTCATGATGATGGTAATAGTGGCGATGGCATTGCAGCACCACTGCACTCTCAACTCAACCGACTCACCTACCGCCATCCCACTCCATTGCCAGGTGATTGCTGTGTGCCGTGGTGATGATATAAGTGATTATTATCAGGTGGGTGCTGCTAAAGGTTGTGCTGCTGGCGCAGATGGTGCTGTTGATGATGACGGTAATCCGAGTTATTGTACCCACTTTTTATGACACAACCCGAAATTGCCTTTCCAAACTGGGAGGATTTGACGTTAGGTCTTACTGCCTGCCTCGCCTCTCTCTCGCCCCATGTTACCAACACAGTCTCTTCCCATCACTCCTACCTCACTCCCTCCCACTCCCTTCACTGCCTCTCCTCTCGCTCGCCTCACTCCTATTGCGCGAGGCTAGCCAAGCGGTGGGTAGCGGCTCATGTCTCCTCACGGCTCATGTCTTCTCGTCGCAGCAGGAGGAGGTAGCAGTGGAGCTGCTCATGGCACCCACCCTCACCGCCCCCAACCAATTTCCCTCCCCTCCTACTCCTTCCTTCCCTCTTCCGTCTTTCATTTGAATGCTCATGCCAGGCTAGCCAAGCAGTGGGTGGCGGCTCACCTCCTCTCATCGCACCTTAAGGAGGAGGCAGTTGAGCTGTTGGTGCCGCACACACCCTCACCCCTCCGACCACCTTCCCTCCCCCCACTCGTGCCAGGCTAGCCAAGCGGTGGGTGGCGGCTCACCTCCTCTCATCGCAGCTGAAGAAGCTGCTGGTGCCGCACACCCTCGCCTCACCACTCCCATCCCTCCTTTCCCTACCTCTCCGTACCCTCCGCCCATGCATGCATGCCAGGCTAGCCAAGCAGTAGCTGGCGGCTCACCTCCTCTCATCGCAGATGGAGGAGGAGGCGGTGGAGCTGCTGGTGCCGCACACCCTCGTTGCCTCCAACCCCTCCTCTATCCTTCCTCTCCTCCCTCTTTGCCCATGCATGCCAGGCTAGCCAAGCGGCAGTGGGTGGCGGCACATCTCTTCTCATCGCAGCTGAAAGAAGAGGCTGTGGAGCTGCCGGTGCCACACACCCTCACTGCTCCGATCCCTCCTTTCCCTACCTCTCCGTACCCTCCGCCCATGCATGCATGCCAGGCTAGCCAAGCGGTGGGTGGCGGTTTACCTCTTTTCATCGCACCTCAACGAGGAGGCGGTGGAGCTGCTGGTGGCTCACACCCTCACCACCTCCACTCCCTCTTTTTTCTCTACCTCCCCTTGCCCCCCCCTTATACGCCGTCCCTCCTCCCTCGTACACAGGCTCGCCAAGCGGTGGGTTGCAGCTCACTTGTTCTCATCGCACCTCAAGGAGGAAGCGATTGGGCTGCTGCTGCTGGCGCTCCATCCCTCCTTTTCCTACCTCTCCGTACCCTCCCCCCATGCATGCCAGGCTCGCAAAGCGGTGGGTGGCAGCGCATTTGTTCTCATCGCACCTCAAGGAGGAGACAGTGGAGCTGCTGGTCGCTCACACGCTCACCGCTCCCACTCCCCTCTCTCTTACTCTCTTCCTCACGCCAGGCTAGCCAAGCGATGGGTGGCAAGCCATCTCTTTTCATCCCATCTGAAGGAGGCGGCGGTGGAGCTGCTGGTGGCCCACACCCTCGTTGCTCCCAACCCCCTGCTGCTGCCTGCCCCCAAGTCACGACTCGCTGGCCTCCTCAGGTGAGACAGCAGATGTACGCTCAGGTGAAACAGCAGTTGTGCGCTCAGGTGAAACAGCAGATGTACGCTCAGGTGAAACAGCAGTTGTGTTTTCAGGTGGGATTGCAGTTGGGCTTTCAGATGAAGGGCAGCAGGGAGGGGAGAGCAGTGACCACGCCAAAGCAGGTGGTGCTTTGTTGGTATTGTTATGCTCTACAGACTTTCTAGTCGACTCAAAAGTTACCTTGTTTCTATGGCACATGTCGCGGTTTTTATGTGTTACTGCTTTGTTCTCTGCCATATCTCCCCCCTCCTACCTTCTCCCTCTTTTCCACATCATGCTTTGTCAACCGTGTTGTGTTGCCATGTCTTGCCGGCTGCTGCCATGTCTTGCCGGCTGCTGCCATGTCTTGCCGGCTGCTGCCATGTCTTGCCGGCTGCTGCCATGTCTTGCCGGCTGCTGCCATGTCTTGCCGGCTGCTGCCATGTCTTGCCGGCTGCTGCCATCCCCTCTTCTCAATCCCGGCCAACTTACTTCCATCGTGGCATCGCCACAATATCACGCTGATGTCAGCTATGTGCTTCCTACAACCATTGATGACGTCACCAACACCATTCTCCCCACCGCCGTCCGATCATCCGCCCCCTCTTGATCATCAACCTCCTCACATTACCACCTCCTTGCTGCACACGTGGCAGGTTCTTCCGTCTCGTGGCGTCATACGATTGGCTGTCGCAGCCGCTCATAGTGGACGTGAACAGTGCCTTCTCTCCTGAGGACGTGCAGCAGATTCAGGTGAAAATTCAGACAGATGCAAGCGCAAGATACAGTACCATGGTAACAGCAATCATTGTCACTGTTTTTGTGTGGGGCGCTGGTATGATCAAACACCCCTCAACATGAGCAGCACTTTGCTGACTATGGCTCTTAAATCGTATTCACCCCAGTGAATATGCTTGTTCTCCTCCAAGCTATGGACTGCTCCGTTTCTTCACTTTCTTGTCTCTTGATTTTGTTCCCGTAACGCCCCTTCCCCCCTCACCTTCTCCCGCACCCGTCTCGTTCTGACGTGTGCTTGCACAGGGACGCGTTGGGCGGTTCGGCACACAGCATGGAGAAGCTGGTCAAGCAGAGCATAGCGGAGTGTGAGAGAGAGGTCGAATCACCTCTCCTTCCTCTCTCCATCCCCCACCCACTATTTCTCCCCGCCAGGCTCGTTTTGACGAGCGCCTGCCACCCCACAGGGACACCCTGGGCAGCTCAGCTCGCAGCGTGGCAAAGCGGCTCAAGCAGAGCGCAGCAGAGGGGGGAAAGGAGGGCGAGGGGGAGAAGGAGCGGCGCCCTGCCATGTGCATCGCCACGCCGTACGATCGCGACGGCGCCATGTGGACGCATCTCGGACCGTCCGTTGAGGTGATGTCGCAATGTTCGCTCGTTTCTGTTATTAGGCGCCTGAAAAATCGTCTTCTGTTAGTGGTCGCTGTTTGATTGTGGTCCTGAAGATTTTCGACTCAGAAGGCAATGGTTTCATGGCTTTGGATGGCAAGGAAGGTTCTGAACCTTCATTGCAGACAATGGCCGTGGTGATGGCGGGAAGAAAGAAGGCCTTATCATGGCTTACCCACACCACACCACACGAGACTGCACCACCACACCACACCACACCGTACCGTCCTCCACTGTGATGGCAGGAGGAAGACTTCAGAATTCTCGTGAATGTTTCTCCACCTCTATCCCGCATTCCGTCCCTCCCTGTGCCCCCATTTCCTTGTCCCCCCTCACTCTGTGCCCTTGTGCTTCTCATGTGCCCCTCGATCCCATTCATTCAGGCGTTGGAGCGTCTATGCGCCTCTGCCCAGAGTGCAGCACAGGAGCTGTCACAGCTGATCACAGGCGGGGGAGGTGGGGAGGAAGGAGGGAGAAATGGAGGATCTCAGATTAAAGGTGTAACTACCTCGTCATGCTCACTCCACCCTGACCCCTCCCCCTGTGCCCCTGCGTCTTGTTTGCCCCCCCTGCACCCTCAGGCTCTGGAGCGGCTATGCGCCTTTGCCCAGAGCGCGGCTCAAGTGTTGGAACAGCTGATTACAGGGGATGGGGAGGAGGGGAATGAGGGAGAGAAAACGAAAGGGGCAAAGGGGAAGGATGTAGGCAGTGAGAAGCACAGGGCGGTGCAGTGGAAGGTGGGTGTTGGGGCCTTGCACGTTCAGGCGGGTAACACACAGCTGCGTTGCACATTCTTGAGAAAGTTTCTTCCTTCCAAGCCCTCACCCCCCTTTTCTTTCCTCCATCGGAAATTTCCTCCCACCACTGCCTTGCCTTGCAGCATCAGCTCTTTTCCTCTCCCACGACCCCTCTTCTTCCAACTTGGAACACCTTCTCTCTCTTCCTTCTTCCCTTGCCCTTCTCTCCTGGCTGCAGTCACTCTTCTTGTCACCGCTCTCCACTGCATTCGACCTCATCATTCGCCTACAGCCTGCGTCCCTCCCTCACCATCAACGCGTGCTCTTCCCTGCCCCCAAGGCCCTCACCACCACCAGGGGTAAGCTGTTCTCGCTTCCCACCATCCCCCATCTTCCCCTTCCCCCCACCACCGCATGCTCTTCCCACCATCCCCACTCGCCCACCACAGTGGGATTTCCGTCCCAAGGATGCAACATAAGCACCGTCTTCCAAGCATCATAGGCACAGTCTCCCATGCGATCATAGGCACAGTCTCCCATGCGATCATAGGCACAGTCTCCCATGCGATCATAGGCACAGTCTCCCATGCGATCATAAGCACAGTCACCCGTGCGATCACAGGCACAGTCACCCGTGCGATCACAGGCACAAAGATGGTAGCTCCCAATGGGCTCATGCAGGCGAACACAAGGCTGGGCGCCACCTCACACCGTGCCTTGAACTACACTCTAGCAGGCATACCACAGCACAGCCGGCACAAGCACCATCTCCCATGCGATCAGAGGCACATAAATGGTAACTCACAATGAGCTCATGCAGGCAAGCACAAGGCTGGGCGCCACCTCACACCGTGCCTGCTTGTACTGCATTCAAGCAGGCATATCGCAGCCGGCACAAGCATCTCACAACTGTGTGCCTGTGCCGTGGCCGTTGTGTGTTGTGTGACGGTCGTCTGCTCGCAGGCTGGTTACAAGTGCCCTCCTCCCTCGCTCCTGCCGACCCCTCTTCCTCAACCGCCCTCGTTTTTTGAGTCGACTCAAAAAGTGACTGTGCTGTGTGCTGTGTGTTGTGTGTTATGTGTTGTGTGACGGTTGTCTACTCGCAGGCTGGGTACAAGTGCCCTCCTCCCTCGCTCCTACCGACCCCTCTTCCTCCACCGCCCTCGCCCCCTCTCTCCACCGCCTCTCCTCTGCCGGTCCCCCGCTGCTCATCGGCTTCAATCCCACGGCTCTGCTGCTCACACACTTGCAGGTGAGCCGTTGCATCTGACTTTTGAGTCGACTCAAAAGTCACCTCCGCTGCTCATCGGCTTCAATCCCACGGCTCTGCTGCTCACACACTTGCAGGTGAGCCGTTGCATCTGACTTTTGAGTCGACTCAAAAGTCACCTCCGCTGCTCATCGGCTTCAATCCCACGGCTCTGCTGCTCACACACTTGCAGGTGAGCCGTTGCATCTGACTTTTGAGTCGACTCAAAAGTCACCTCCGCTGCTCATCGGCTTCAATCCCACGGCTCTGCTGCTCACACACTTGCAGGTGAGCCGTTGCCTCTGCCGGCGTTTGCTGTCCCTCTGCGCTTGCGTCTCACATGCAAGCCTTAGGAATTCATGCCGCACACTTACCCCTTCCCCTCTCTGCCTCGCCTCTGCCGGTCCCCCGCTGCTCATCGGCTTCCCACGGCTCTGCTGCTCACACACTTGCAGGTGAGCTGTTTCATCTGCCTGCATTGCCGTCTCTTTGTGCATCAGTAAGCATCCGATGCTGTCTCAGTGCGCGCGTTCATGCTTTACAATACCCTGTGCGTGTTTTGAGGCGCCTCAAAACTCGCGTTGATGATCTACAATACCCTGCATGGGAGTGAGGCGGTCAGGGCAAGGGAACTAGAGAGTGACATTCTCTGCTGCTCTCCCGCCCGTCCTATTCGCAATCCGCAGGAACGGTTTGGATCAATTCTCACGTTCTGGTATGACGGCCTGTGTGGGAGCGAGGTGATCGGTGCCACGTGGCGCATTCCCATTGGTGCAACTGCTGACGGCGGTGCCGCTGCCCCATGCCTTCCCCGACGGGCCCAGCAAGCCCACCTGCTGCCGTGCTCCCTGCAGTCCGAGCGAGAGGTAGGGCACTCCTGTGGCAGTAGCAGAGAGGTTTGGCACTTTTGCCATGCTCAGAGAGAGGTGTGTGGTACAAGTAACGGTGTGACGGAATAGCGGTGAATGCTTATCTGAAGGGTACGTACTATTGTGCTGGCAGAAGTGCGAGAGGGAGAGCGGTACGGTTTGGGAAGGTTTTGAGACATATCATCACTGCACCTGCTGCTTTCACTGCACCTGCTGCTTTCACTGCACCTGCTGCTTTCACTGCACCTGCTGCTTTCACTGCACCTGCTGCTTTCACTGCACCTGCTGCTTTCACTGCACCTGCTGCTTTCACTGCACCTGCTGCATTCACTGCACCTGCTGCTTTCACTGCACCTGCTGCTTTCACTGCACCTGCTGCTTTCACTGCACCTGCTGCTTTCCATCTCCGCCCTTCCCTTGAAGTGCAGAGGTGGAGGGGGGGAAAGCAAGGATGTCCAATCCCATGCTCCACCCTCCCTTCCACACTCTTCCCTCCTTTCCACACTCTCCCATACTTTCCACACTCTCCCATACTATCCACACTCTCATCTCTCCCATACTATCCACACTCCCATATTTCCACCCTCTCATCCCTCCCATTCCTTCCGAACTCTCCACTCCCTCACCGTCCACACTCTCCCCTTCCTCCCATGCTCCGCCCAGCCCTGCAACGTCTATGCCTTCTCCCCCGCCACCCTCCCCTCTCACCAGCTGCTCTCCTCCCCTGCTTTCCCCACCCACCAGCTGCCATGCGGAGTGGTGAATGTTGCTGCCATCATCGATGACATCAGCATCATGGGTGCTGGCCTAGTGGCGTCTGTGCATGTGCGCCAATAATCCTCATTTCATGTCTTGTGTGTGAGTATGCCCTCATGTGATCAGATTATGTGAGCAAAGACCCTTCGGTCATATGTAGCCGTCCTGTGATCAGTATATGTGAGGCAATAACCTGTATTCTAACAATGCAAATAATACCTGTGCTGTAGAATGGTAGGGAATGTTGGTTTTTGCTCTAGCCAGGCATCAGTCTGACAGGGTGATGGCCCAGGTATCCTTGTTTACATAACGTTCTCGTAACATACCGAACAATCCTTCACTGTTAAAGCCGGAAGCCCAATTTGTTCATCATTTTAAAAGATGACGAGAGGGTGTTTTTCTGGCCTTGGGTTGGGCGAGTGTTTCAGATTTCGTCAAAATCGTTTCTGTTCGCCAAACCCAGCCAGGACCCGGATTTCCCTCTGGTGAGTGGAGTGGACTTCGAAAGTCCCAAATTGCAAGTGCGCTGCTTTTCAAAAGTTTGCACACTCAGCTTCGTCAAGTTTTAAAAACTTGATGTGCGCGGCCCGCAATTTGGAACGCGGGCTTTAAGCACTGAGAATTCAATAAAGAAACATGTCCTCCAGTCGATTGTTGATCACAATTGTTACAATCTGAAATGTGACTTAGCGAAGAGGATCGTTCAGGGTTGATCGCGGGTAGTGTCGCAGCGGAAGTAGTGAACTCAGGTCAGAGTGAATGTAAATGACTGAGATTGATTATAGCATGCATACATTGGGTTTATATAGAAATACAAAGGAATGCGAAACGACCTAGACTAGCCATGTACTCTAAGGGGTACATTCCCTTATTGCAGCGAAATTTAAACCGTGCGGCGCGGGAATCAGTTTCAAACCTGTTCCCGCTCTTTTCACTTCAAATGCTTCTGCCTGCATCGGTCTTAGTCAGACGGTTGCTGTGTCGCTTCGACTCTTCTGACTCCTCGTCTTCGTACTCGGTAGAGTCAGCTCCTGCAGCATACAGGAATGCCTTCTCATAAAGCTTCATATCGTAACACTCCCCTTCATTCCTGGACGCGAGGGGTGCTGACTCGCTTGACCACTCCGGTGAGGTCGGAGCAGTGCTTGAACTGCTGACGTGGCAGACGCTTGGTGAGGAAGTCGGCTGCCATTTCAGTGGTTGGGCAGTAAGCGAGGTCAACTTTACCCTGGTCGATTTCGTCCTTGACGAAGAAGTACCGCAGTGCGATGTGCTTCGTGCGGTTCACGAACCCGGGCTTGTTCGCGATCTTGATCGCGCTCTGGTTGTCGCAGTGCAGGCGAAAGGTAGGCGAGGTTGGAATTTTCGCCTCCTGTAACAGCTCCTGCATGTACAAACCTTCGCGAACTGCTGCTGTCGCGGCGATGTATTCAGCTTCGGCCGATGACAGGGCAACCAGTTCCTGTTTCTGCGAGTTCCAGGAGATGGGGCCAGTTGGCTCCAGGCGAAAAACGAAGCCGGTTCGGGACCGTCGATTTGCTGGGTCAGCGGCATGGTCAGCGTCCACGTAGCCGTTGAGGTTGAAGGATGTTGTTGACAGCGTGGAGTAGGAGAGTCCAATGTCAGGCGTGGAGATGAAGTACTGCAGGGCGCGCTCCAGGTCCAACTGGTTCTCGGCTACTGGTTTGCGGGAGTACTGTGCCAGTTGGCTGGCGATGTACGAAAGGTCGGGTCGGCATGTGACAGATGCGAACAGCAGGCAGCCCAGCTGCTGCTGGTACAGTTGGAGCCCCGCGGGGGACAAAGGTTTGTTGTCTGGTTTGTAGTTGGTGCTGGGGCTGCGGTATGGAGTTGAGAGTGGTGCGCGTGAGATGTTGAACCGTTCTCCCAGCTGCTCTGCGTATTTTGAAGCTGACAGATGAATTGCTTCTGGCGCGTAGGTGATGTTCAGGCCCAGAAACTGGGTGACGTTGTGGTTGGTGGTAATGTCCACGCGCTTCGCCAAGTTTTCTTCGAACTGGGTAAGAAGCGTGTTGCAGGTGCCAGTGTAGAGCAGGTCGTCGACGTAGACGGTGAGGAGGATGTAATCGCCGTTGAAGTGGAGGCGGTACATTCCCGGGTCGTGCGGCAGCTGCCTGAAGCCGATTTCCAGTAGAATTTTGTGCAGGTGCTGCTGCCAGAGACGAGGCGCCTGCTTAATCCCATAGAGGGATTTCTTCAACTGGCAGACCCTGGGATCTCCTTCTCCGTAGGTGTGTGGTTGCTCCACGAAAATGGTTGCATCCACCAACGCATATAGGAATGCGTTCTTCACGTCGATCTGTCGCAGTGGTAGATGCTTAGCAGCCGCTATGGCGAGTAGGATTCTGACGGAGGTGTGACGGCTGACAGGAGCGAAAGTTTGGTCGAAGTCGATGCCGTGGCGTTGGTCGTAGCCTCGGACCACCCATCGTGCCTTGAAGCGCTCAATGGTTCCGTCAGCGTTAGTCTTGAGCCGAAAAACCCACTTCCCGCTGAGCACCCTCCTCCCCTTCACTGCTGCACGATCGACGAGAACCCAGGTGTCACGGGACTCCAGCGCTTTCAGTTCGGCGTCCATAGCTGCACGCCATTCTTTGGCGTGCGGGCCGGTGAGGGCTTGGCGCGGGTTCTTTGGTTCAACAGCGCGAGAAGCTGCAGGCCGAAGGCGTTCGCGGTTTCCGCAGTGTCAGTGATGGGGACCTCCACCACGTCATCATCGTCGCTGTCGTGTCCAGGTGAGGAAGTGCTGGGGGCGGTTTCGCGGCGGGTTGGACCAGGGGTAGGTGCGTCATCGCTGTCGTCGTCGTCGTCATCGTCCGAGCGAGGGCGAGGCGGAATGCCAGGATGATCGTCGGTGTCGTCGCGATCGAAGGCTGCTGCTGCTGCTTCATCCTCGGGAGATGCAAAGCTGCGGCCGCTGTTGACATAGCCGCGAGCTTGGTTGCGTTGTTCGTCCTCGATCCACTGCTTCAAGGTGAGTCTTTCGTAGAAGAGGATGTCACGCGCGGGAACGGTCTCCTTGCTGTCGACGTCGAGAATGAGCCACCCCTTGTGCTCGTTGCTGAGCCCCAGATGAACTCCCCAGCGTGCGCGCTGAGCAAACTTGCCAATGTTTGCTGAAGTTGGCCGATACTGCACCATGCACCCCCAAACCCTCAACATGGAGGGATCTCCCCTTGAGCCGGTCCACTTCATGTGCGGGGAAAGGTTGTCCCTGTTGGCCGTGGTGGAGAGGAGGTTGTAAAGGCGCACCGCGTGGTTCATGGCGTAAGGCCAAAACTTCTTGGGGAGGCCGGACTGATTCATGAGAGCGCGCACTTTTGTCATGAGGGTGCGATTTACCCTCTCTGCAACTCCTTGCTGCTGATGAGCGTAGGGGAGAGAGATCTCATGCTTGATCCCCTTTTCGGTGAGGACGCTTTCCAGCTCGTGGCTGCGGAACTCCTTGGCGCCATCACTCTGCCAGATTTTCAGCTTCCTCCCTGACTGTCGCTGTGCGTGTGCGAGCCAGATGCGGAAGACTTCTGGAGCCTTGGACCGTGCGTCGACGTTGGCAATCCAGACGTAGCGTGAGTAGGCGTCGATGAAGGTCAGCGTGTATTTTTCGCCGTTGAGTCCGTCGCAGGTGAGTACAATGAAGTCGCTGTACACCTTCTGTAATTTCTTGTAGCGGTTGGTGCTTGGCTCCAGTGAAGGATATGCGCTGTGAGTGAGGGCTGCAGTGGGGCAGACGGTGCAGGTGAGTGGGTGTGGGGTGTTGTGTGGTTCGGTGCCGTCGGGGCGCAGAAGTGCTCCTGGGGGGAAGACCTTCGCGCGGAGGCAGTTGGCGAGAGTCTGGCGCGAGGGATGCCCGAGTCGCTGGTGCCAGAGGTCGTCTTCGGCGCGAATGCCGCTGCTGCGCATGTAGCGTGCGCGATGCTCTGCTGCTTCCTCCTCTGTTTCTTGTGGGATCTGGAGCGGTGGTTCCTCCTCTTCTCCTGGTTCTGTTTCGTCTTCCGCTCCTTCTGCTTCTTCTGCAGTTGATTCCCCTTCTGCAGGTGCGGTCGAAAGATAGAGGGCGAGAAATTCGCGGTCGGGGATGACGGTGAGCGGAGTTGTTGTTCCTTCGATGAAGCGGGCGAATGGATCTGGACGGGAGATTGGACCAAGGGAGTCTCGGGCAGGTGTTGGAGGTACGTTCCCCTCCTCAAGCTCCGTCCAGGTACTGTCCCAGCGCCATGGTGACCGGGGGGGTGAGCGTGCTGGTGGTGGTCTTCCGAGGGGTATGGTGACGCGGGGTGGTTCCTCTCCGCGTTCGGTGCGCATCTCTTGTTCTGCTTCCTCCAGTTCTTCTTGGGTGAGATCTGCTTCGGCTGTTTCTTCCGTACCCCAGCCTCCTGTGGTAGCCATGCCACTGCCGCTGGATCCCCATGCTCCGATGGCTGATGCCCATGTGGCGCCTTTGTCAGAATTAACGGACAAGAATGATTGAACTAACAGTGAAATCAGTACAAGTACCTAACCCTAGAATTGTGTACCCCCTATAGGCTAACCCACTGTAGCCTAAACAAACACAACATATATAATGTTTGACACACCCCCATAGGCAAAGTGGGGGAGAGCAAGGGGTCACAAGACCAGTCAAAGCAAAGCAAAACAAGCTCAGGGTGGATCTCAAGGACTCCACACAAATTCCGAGCACAAGCAAGTGGTCACAAGACCAGTTCACATGCAGGATGATAATATAACAAGAGATACAGTGATCACAACCTAGCAAGCGTAAACATGCAGGCATATATATAAAGATCACAGTACAAGCAGAGTCAAGAAGTAAGTAAGTGAGGTCCAGCAGGCACAAGGCCTAGAAGAGTACAGAAACGCTGATGGTCACAAGGCTGAAGTGCCTTGGTGAACACATCAGCAAGGTTGGCCTCAGTGGCCACGTAACGCAGACGAAGCTGACCACGCTGCTGCAGCTCTCGAGCAAGGAAGTATCGCAGGGCGATGTGCTTCGTTCTGTGCTCCAGTCTGTGCTCCTCACACAAGGCAATGGCAGCCTGGTTGTCGACGTACAGCACTGG